TTGAGGCACTTTATCTGCTCTTGGTGCCCCGTCGCCGACCTCTGAGAGTCTCAATGTCAGAACTTATGGGGCCATGGGCCCTACACCGGCTTTTATGGCCCCTACCATCGACTCTTGGGACTCATGACCCATGAAATGTGGGTCTAAGCGGCTTCTAAGAATCCCCATGCTGGTTCTAGTAGCCGCCAGCCGAATATTAGGTTAGGGCTCACACGCGAGCTCCTGGGACCCCGTGCATACCCCAGGGGTCTACCTGCCTCTAAGACCCCACACATACTTTTGGGGCTCAAACGCTTGCCCCTGAAGGCCCCACTGAGACCCCTTTCCTCTATTCAGTCCTCCATACCAGCTCTTTAGGCTAAACATCGGCTCCTGTGGCCTCCATCCCGGCTTTGGAGGGCCTCCATATACAGGCTTTTTTGGGGTCCGATGCCGGTTTCTGAGAGCCCTCAAAAGACTTTCGAGCCTATACTGCCTTCTGAAACCTTTCAGCAACTTTCAAGGGACCGACCCTGATCGGAGGGCTCATTCAGTCTGGGGAGTCATGTAGTTCTCTGGAGGAGTCTCTATGTGGTCGGTTTCCAAGGGGCTTCTAAACACGGTCTTCTTGGAACGGTCTCGTAGGGCCCTCAATGGTCCACTGCGGATCCAGAAAAAGTGGTTTGAGACGCTGCGGGTGGTGGCTAGACTAAAAGATTAGCCGATAAAAACTAGCTGCATTTGCTTCTTTTTGCTTTCATTGTTGGAGATAGGTAGGGACACTGCAATTTCAAACCTTTTACAGAACTTGTGTGTATGGGGAGAGTTTTCCAAACTCTTCGTTTTTCATAAATCAATAAAAATCACTTTAAAAAACTGAAGGGGGCCCAAAACTTCCAGAGGGGCCCCTTGAGAAAAATTTGCACCCCCATCCAAAATTACCTTCCGCCGCCACTGCTCACCGTGTGTGCGGCCAGGGTCTGGCGCTGCCTCTCCATTCCCACAAGTAACTGCTGCTGCCATCTGTCGGATACGTCGGTAAGCATAATCTGCCGACGCACCATCAACTTTCTGTAAACAAGCCTCTCGGATGCTGCCCTACGGAAAGGAAGGATAGGAAGGATGGCTCTGTAAGAAACGTTCGCGCCTACATTTTGTCAAATATGTATGTTACGCTCATAGCAGGCATTTGCATTACTTATGTCGATATAACTGCTGTTTCAATAACTCCTAAAGGAAGTAAATCTAGAAGCGCATTGCTGGTAAGAATCTTTCATCGGGATCTTACGACTTACGTGGAAAATAGGTTTAACCTGGATCAGTGTGATCTAATAGAATCAGGTAATTAGCCAAAGGAAAGGATCTCTTATGATACATAATACCACGAAAGAAACCTGTGAGACCATGATCCCAGTTGATCGCAGGTGCACTCAGCGACTCAGCGTCCTTGGACTCCTTGGTCGCCGTGTGACAGATTAGATATTCTTAACTTAGGTAATCGTAAAGTCCAGCATAATCTACCAGTATAACGCCTTTGGGGGCGACTAACGGAGCGAGCGAGAGGGTGAGCCTTGCACGTGCGAAATTTCGAGGGGGTACCTCCAGCTGACTTGTGCACGGCACCCTACTAACCGGTCTCTAGCGATGTGCCAAATTTGAGCACAATCGGCCCAGCCGTTCTCGAGATCTGGAAGCGGCAACCTGCACGTGCGCACGTGCAAAATGGGTCCCAAATGACTTTTGCACGGCACCCTACTAACCGGTCCCTAACCATGTGCCAAATTTGAGCGCCATCGGTCCAGCCGTTCTCGAGATCTGGAATCGACCCCTGCACGTGCGCACGTGCAGCAGCACCCCAATTCCGGCACATGGATATGCATTGCCTAGTGAGTGTCTACCTACATGCCAACTTACAGCGCAATCGGCCAAGTAGTTACCGAGATATTGCAACAATTACAAAAGTGACACCTCTTCGTTTTGCACGTGGCACGTGCATAAGGGGTCACCCACATGCATCGGGAATAGTCCAATACTTGGTAAAAGGAATGAAGCTACCCTACAAAAATTACCGCGTGTAAATCGGTCAAGTAGTTGCTGAGATATAAGCTTCGCAAAAGCGTGACCACGGCCGGCCGGCCGGCCGCTCATACTCAGAAATTTCCGTTAATCTAAGGAAAGACTACGCTCGCTTCGCTCGCTCCGTAACCACGCTTGCCACTTGACCTCTGAGGGACTGCTCAGAATGAGATGAGTGTCTTCTGTAATCGCAGGCTGTTTCAAATAGACAAACGCTGTTTGCTAAAATTGTGTTTTTCTATTGCTAATGTTAACCGCAATCGCATTTCCCCTTTCTGTTCTCTAAATTATTACGGAGCGAGCGAAGCGAGCGGAGTCTCATACTGAATTAAGGGAAAATCCTGAGTATGAGCGGCCGGCATGCCGGCCGTGGGGACGCTCTTCAAAAGCTAATATCTTAGGAACGGGACATCCGATTGACAAGCGGTCTTCTTTACTGAATGTCACTTGGACGTAAAAGTTCTGTGGTGTGATGGCCACCATGCGTTCTTGCCAACCACCGCACGTGACGCGTGGTAAAGTTGGACATTTTTTAAGAACCCCCAAAATTGCAACCTCAATAACGGCACAACGGTTGGGCCGATTGAATTGAAACTCGGTACACAGTTAGGTCTCCATCAGATAATTCATCTGCATGTGTTAAGGTTGGGGTGCTACAGCACGTGCGCACGTGCAGGGGGCGCTCCCAGATCTCGAGAACGGCTGGGCCGATTGCGCTCAAATTTGGTACACAGTTGGGGACCAGTTAGTAGGGTGCCGTGCAAAAGTCAGTTTGGATCCCGCTTGCACGTGCGCACGTGCAGTGTGCCGCTTCCAGATCTCGAGAACGGCTAGGCCGATTGCGCTGAAATTTGGCACATCGCTAAAGACCGGTTAGTAGGGTGCAGTGCACAAGTTAGTTGGAGGTACCCCCTCGCAATTTCGCACGTGCAAGGCCCATCCTCTCGCTCGCTCCGTTGGTCGCCCAAAAGGCGTTTTACTGGTTTTAGAGAACAGAAAGGGGTTAGTTAAATTATTTTAACTGACAGTAGCGGCGGAACACCTTCAATTAAGGGGGGCACTGCCGACTTTTGGTCCCATTCTTTCCATGCAACGCCCATAGGGCTAATGTTAAAATGCCAAAATCAAAGGGGGGCACGGTGCCCCGGTGCCCTCCCCGTTCCGCCGCCTATGTTAACTGATATTTGAAACTTGGACCTCAATCATCTTCCTACAAGACACAAGTCAACGATAAGTAGCTGGAAAAGGTTATCTTTGTCAGAGGCGGATCCAGCTCAGAGTTTTTTGGGGGCAAACCATAACAATTTATCGATTCTTTCCAAGCCTCGTCCATTGGCGTAATGTTAAAATTATGCCGTTGGGGGGGGGGGCAAATGTCCATTTTGCCCCCCTCCCTGGATCCGCCACTGATCTTTGTGTCAACAATGACGCTATCGGACAGATTATAGAAAAGATGTTCTTGGTTGGAAGTCCATAAATATGTATTGCTTAGTAACAGCCTAATGATATCATCAGCAGTCAGCACTTCAATGGGTATGAAGGAATTGTGCTCAGCGGACGAATCAAACATTACATAATGGACACTTCAGTTTTATCTGTCATACTTTTTATCCTGGCTTCATGTCTCTGCCAGTCTAAATGCATTTGTCTTGTTAGAGCAGTCCTTAGTTAGGTTCTTCTTTTTTAAGAAGTTAGGCTAAGTGGATACTCGAATACATGGCAGGGTACTCGAATACATGGCAATACACGTGTGTGTCGCACGTGCCACGTGCAAAAACTGAGCACCTTATAAGTGCCTACATGTGCGACCGTGTCCGACCCATAGCGCCCATAGCAAGCTATCGTTCCTATCTTTAAAGTTTATCAACTGTTCGACAACCTATCCAGGATCAATGATGTGTGATGAAGTTCTATGGTCTACTATGGACGTCAAACCCCTTGAGGCCCCACTTTTTTGCGATAATTTTTAAATGCGTCAGCTCTCGTTGACAATATTCTGGCAATGTGTGTTTTAGAACCTGCCGAAACTTTTATTACTAAGGTATTTTGACGCCAAACGATTATGAAAGGTACTTCTCATTCACTCGTAATGTTAAATTTCACGGAACGAATCTGCTGTTTGGGTAGAGGCTACGCGCTCATGGGGCGAAGCCACGCAATGACGTCAGCGCTAAGCTCCGCCCTACCCCTCCGGCGCTCCTTGCCCGGCGACCGGTCACTCGCGTCTCTCGCTCCATTCAGGCTTGATGGTGGGCGGTAGCTGGTAGCGGTAGCGGGCGCTGGTAGATGGCATTTAGAGCAGATGGCGCTGGTGGCGGGGCTCGAGTGTGGCCGAGCGCAAGCCTCTGCCCGGGCCTGAATTGACCTTAGCATTACGAGTGAATGAGAAGTACCTTCCATAATCGTTTGGCGTCAAAATACCTTAGTAATAAAAGTTTCGGCAGGTTCTGAAACATACATTGCCAGAATATTGTCAACGAAAGTTGACGCATTTGAAAATTATCGCAAAAAGTGGGGTCTCAAGGGGTTTGACGTTCATAGTAGTAATTGATGACCTCAACTTCGAGCGCCGTGTCGATAGTATCTACACTTTGAACTTCAGCTCCGTAACTGTTGACCTTTTGTGTAGCATGCAGGTGAGGTGGGCGTTATCTTCAATGCTATTCTATACGTCTCTATTTTATATGCACCTACCAATCATAAATATGCTCGTATTGTAAAATGATTTATTTGATCATTTGCTTGCATGGCAATTCAGTTTCCGACATTTAGCAGCAATATCATCGAAGTAACAACATCATGGCTCCCAAGCAGCTTCAGACGCAAAAATGCGACTTTCTGCGAATTTTGAATAACGCTATAAGCGTAAAATATCGCCGCATTATCCAAAGTCTTCATCAAAAGTTGCTGGAATTTCAGTGTTCAGAGAAATTAGAGCCAAAAGGTGAATCAATAAGTGACATTTATTTTCTTTGACGGCACAAATTATAATGTTATGATCGAATGATCTTATGATGATGATGGTACTGCATGAAACATTATATTAAGACCATGTTTTAAATAACGGAACAGAATCAAACTATGAGAGTCAAACCTATCCAGCAATGGGCCTGGCCAGCAGTATCCCCACGCTCAACTCGTTGAGCCTAAAATCCCAATGATTTCTTCTCGCACAAAACCGCTCAGCGTTTACAGTTGACCCGTTGGGCAGCCAAGGTTGACCCGTGAGGCAATCACAGCTCACCCGTTGCATTATACCACTGTGCATGTCGCAGCGGCCCGCCGTATAGAGCCACCCACTTGTCCTTTTTAACAATGCAGTTACTCCGAGCCCGGCAGAGTTTCTTTATACATTTGACGCCTGTGTCTATTGACAGTGTTCCGTTGACCCCGCGCCCGAGTTTACTGGCAATGACCTGTAGACCCTTTCATGTATCTACTGATAGTGAACAGTAGACCCCAGAGCTCACGTCTATTGACAATGATCTATAGACCCCACTCAGGTGTCTATTGACAGTGGTCGGTAGAGCCGGCGCCCAGCAGAGCTCGCTTGGAGACCATGGGCGCGAAGATGGCGTAGCCGACTCCTGCTCCGGCGCAAACGGCTATCATGATCCACGAGCTGTACGTCATGGTGGCCAGCATGAGGAAGTAGCCGCAGGTGACCTGAAGGCGGAGGTGCGACAATGGTCAATGCGGCCAGGGGTGAGAGGGTAGACAGTGGTAATGGTGCACAGTGCACACATTTCTGAGTTGTATTTGATGATTTGAACACCCATCTCTATCTGACTTGTTCCGTGGCGATTAGTCCTGATATTGGCCTGATGTCATCATCATCGATGGCCTTTACGTTGCGTAAAGTTGCAACTGAACCTAGCCTCTGTGAAATTATTATAATGTAGAAAAATAAATACTGCCCATAATTTTCCAAATTGATAGTGCCGCTGCCAGTGATCGATATACAGCAAAATACTAGTGCTAGATTAAAATAGATAATTTTCACCAAACCATATTCTACTAACCTGATAACTGGCAAGGCACGCAAATCCGACCACATGCAGGCTGGGATCGACACATTATCGCCTCAAGCGGTGGGGGTAAAATAATTTTTGTCTTCGAATGTCATACACGTCAGCACAATTATGTCAACTTTTTTGGAGAACAATCTTCCAGCGTCATATAAAATTTGAAAGAATCTTGGCTACAGTAAAAAAAAAAACTTACTTGCACAATATGCAGGAAGACTTGAACCCTGAAAAGAAAAGAAAAACGAATGTGAAATGTAAATAACCAAGAATTACGAAAGGCATACAAATTGGAGGCGTCTGCTATCAAAATAATCCAAAGTCTATAAACGAACATAAAAGAATGGAAGAATTGAATACCGTAATTTAACGCTCAATGCTTTATAAGCTCTTGCTGATAGATTTATTTAGCTAGATAGATATACTAGTTTTGGACTTTGTAAGGTGTTTTACTTCCTTCCTTCATCACTCACCAGTGTCCAGGAGACGACAGTCTGGAAGAAGCTATTTTGTCGACGAGGATTAACCTGCAAAACACACAATCGAATGTCATAAGAGCTGTCTGTTGTTGAAAAGTTAAGTCCAGGGTGTTGGTGCAAAGTACAAAGACCTTGTAAGTTGTAACATTAGGTGCTCCACCGTTGATCAAATTGAGATTCAGTTGATCAAGGCGAGATCAGGTTAAGTACGACGCAAGATGATTGGCCGGTACTTCATCAGCTGCCATGAGTTAACATTGGAAGGGTAAAAGATGTAGCTGTGTTTTCAATTAATTACTATCCCATTGATAAAGAATTTCTCACTGAACTAGAAAACAGCGTCCCCCTCCCCCTAAAGTGCGCTGTATAGCCAAAATTTACGATTGGAAAGTGTCGTAGAATTGGCTGCGCCTTCCACCAAGGAGTGGTCTCGCTGCACTATCCGGACTTAAAGTACTAAACCATCTGGACAGTGACCTGAAGACCTTGAGGCCCTCGTAGAGAGCGGCCATGACGCCGACTCCCAGACAGGCGGCAGTCAGCGTGCCGGCGTCGTGGATGCCGAAAGATTTGAACCAGAGCTTGAAGGTGTTATTGCCAAAAAACGTCATCTGAAACAAAGTGCATAGTTTATTTTAAAAGTTGCCAAGACGAGCTGCAACTAATAAAATGACTTAAGACTAGCAAAAATGATAAAAAGATGTATATTATTTGGTGGTGAGCTGGTTTGCATGCTCAAAAGAAGCGTCACATGATAATAAGCATTAAGCATGTCTATCACAGAATGGTGTAATTGTGAATCGCTCCTAATGTACCGAGTTCGAACATGCACTTACAACTATCTGATTTAGTTATTAAGTACATAGATTTATAGTGTCACGCACCTGCATCATCATCATATCGCCTAGTTCGGCACCCATAGAGTCTTCTGTGAGTGCCACGGGAGTGTCTCCACTGGCACCGGAAGGAGGCGGATCCACGGCTGTGCTGACCAGCATTGGAACCGCTGCTGGCGACATTTGGCCAATCAGAGACATCGCAGTAGCCATAACACTTCGGCATGCGACATAATTGAAGCAGAAATTGACAAAAGTGATGTGAATATCGGGATACTAACAACGATTAGTTTCAATTTTTACAAGCAGTATACTTCAAGCAAAAGTGGTGTTCGCTTTTTTTTTCTTTTTTGAATTACAAGCCCCGAGGACATTATATACTCATCACCTTCGCTGTTAATGTCATATTTTTCTGTACCTAATAAAACTAAGTGATCTTTTAAGTTGAGTATTTATACTGACACGATAGATATCAAGCTGAGGGAGACCATTTATTCAAAGTTTGTTGCATCGGACTGACCGACCTTGATCTAAACCTGAGTCCCGCTGGGGTGGACAGAATCTGCACCCTCCCGTTTTTCGCCAATAACTTCTAAGCGCGTTTGACCCGCGACGTCAAACTTTAAGCACTTCAGCATGATACATCAATTTAACATCTTTCCTAAAATTTTGAGCGAAATCCGTTTTTTTTTTTTTTTAGAAAATGACGTTTAAGTTACGTCGTGTCTACCATTTTCGCTTCAAAAACTGCAAAGCTTCAAACACCTTAAACATCTCCAGTTTTTTAGGAATCAAGACGTAACAAAAAAAAAAACTTGAAAGCAATCATACATTGTCTTTTGAGTAGCAAGCTCAGTTCTTTTTTGAAACTTCTTGATTTTGGTCCTGATCTTTTTTCCAGCTGTGTTTTAAATCAATATAAAATCAAAAATTTGAAGCTTATCGAAAGAACCTAAAAATATATATGTTAGAATAGTGGTCTCTGTGCACCTACCTTCCCATTTTTAGAAGAGTTTGGTAAAAATGTAGGAGTTATAGAACTTTTTATGACGTCATGTCACACACAATTTTCAACAAATGATTTTTTTCAGTTCTAGACCTCCTACGGGAACAAAAATAGCACCATGCAATTCATCGTGAAAAACTATAAGACGAATATCTTTTTAGGTCTTAGCAATCACTTCAAAACTTGATCTGACCTTGACCTGACCTCGAACTAAAATTCATTAAAGGGACCCTCCCACCTTCAAAAAAGTTTATGAATTGGCATGAAAGTGATGTCGCTCGGTTCAGAAAGAGCGAAAACGAATATCTACCAAATTTCACCGAAAAATATTCACCGGTTTTCAAGATATTAGACTTTTACTTTTGTTTACTTTTTGGGATCTCCGCTGTTCCTAGCGACTTTATTTGGAAGCAATAGTTTGGCAGCTGAAAGAGCGGCATTTGTTGCGCGCAAAGCAGCATATACCACCGCGTGCTATAAAACGTTTTAGTCAAACATTTAAAAATCGTTAGATATCTGCGCTGACGTCACACATTCAGAGGGGTATTCCTATGCATTAGCCCCTCTGAATCAAAATGCTGCAATTTTGAAATTCAATATTTCCGATTTAAGGCATTTCTCGATGCTGTGAGTGCCGAAACCGGTAATTGTGAGCCAGGGACCCCATTTTGGCTATCTCAACTCAAATCTAATGTTAAGGTGGGAGGGTCCCTTTAAACTGTGGTCCGTTGAATTCTATGAATAAAATGACCCATAGACATGTATCATACATGCCCTTTTCATATACCGTTTTTGGTGACTTAACCTGACCTTGAACTTGACCTTTCCATGACACTGTATGCAAAGTATCTTTTCTTGATGGCCTTGGAACACGTTTTGGGTCTCAGTCCATTCTTCGCCTACATACTGCGCTCCAAAGTCGATAAGGTAGAAACTTCATTTTTCACCCTTGACCTGACCTCGATCTGACTAATGACCTAGTTTGGCAAAAAAGACTCAAATCTCTGTCTTGTTGAGAGATTTCGATTGCCCTTTTCCCCGTTTTTCTACGACCATCGGTTCGTAAGTTAGGCAGGGGCAAAATATGCCACCCCCCCCCCCCCCCCCCAGCATGGCGCGTATTGCTGGAAAGCTCAACGGGGCGCGGGTTAAAGGAAATATATCACTTCCCCATGTTATCTCCTTTTTTGCTCTAGTTTCACGAATTTTATGCTTAAAATGATTAGGAAAAAATAATGAATACTTACATGCAAATATAATTTTTATTTTTTATACAGAAAAAAACTATTTTCTCTCTTTGGTAGAAGCTAGATAGTGTCTGCAGCGGAAGCAAATTACGCATTAACCCGGCACCGCCTGGGCTATTTCCGTACCCACGACAGCCTGGGGGGTCGGATCCGACCCCCCCCCCCTGTTATCTCGAGAACCAATGGTTGTATCGAGCCCCGCGAGGCGGCGTTCGAAAGGTCTCTACGAGACCTTCCTAAAGCACTCTTAACCCTCGCCCGTATTGGTGTTTTTCCAGCCGCGAACGTATACGGGGGGTCCGTTGGACCCCCCTTGCCGTTTCGCCCCTGATCGAGCTAGAGCTTCGCGGAAAAACGAGCGTGTTGCCCGTGACGAGAGGAAGCCGATGATACCCAATTTTAAGGTTCTAGGTTATTGGTTGACTTTGCAGGTCAGGTCAATGACCCCAAAGGTGGGAAAATCGGGACCTGTTAGAACGTCGTAAAGTGTGGCTGCTATGGGGTTTTTCGGGGTGCTGATCACGAATATCATGTTAGTTTTGATCACAGATGATGTCTTCATGTATTTAGGCCAGGTCGGGTCATGTCAGGTCAGGTCAACCAGTAAGGGTATTCGTAGTAGGTGGCAACCGCCTCTGACAGCTTCGTAACATGTTACGAAGGCACCAAAACCACTTCGTAAATGTTCATATGGTTGCTAAATTCGAATTCAGCTCCAAAAACTGGCCTAGAAACATGTAAAACTCGAAAAAGTGAACCGAGGTCATCAAAGGTCAATGACCTGACCTGACCTTCAGGTGACCTTGACACCCACCCTAATGCATGGGGGCAACATCATATCACATGTTTCAACGCTTGAAACCACGAAAAGACTGCAAACACGCGGCTAATGCGAGCCGACATACGCCGAATCGCGATTCCAGCCAAACATGGTCTCGAAAAGTAGGTCACAGGTCAAAGGTTATTTGGGTCAGGGTCATGAAATTTTCAGGGTAGGTGTGAAATTGATGAACGCGAGGGTACTGAAAGTTTCGTCGCGATCGGCCGCTTTTTACGCGAGTTATTCGCGAAAAACCATGGGGGGTCCGTTCGACCGCTCCCCTATACGGGCGAGGGTTACGATTTTAAGATTGAGGTCAACTTTCGGGTCAAGGTCAGGTCAAAGGTCAAATTCTGGGGTTTTGCATGATTAGGCTTACGGACAGCGGAATCGATAGCTGCTGCTCGAAACTCCCCAAAAATGAACTCAAAGACCTAGTGAAGGTACCATGTGCGTATAGGGGTCATACTTGGTACGGGTCAAGCTCAGGTCAGGTCACGAAAGGTCACGGTTTTCACTTTCTGCTACATGGGCGTGCGACACATGTTCTATGGCTTATTTTTCACAACGAATCCGATGGTAATGGTTATATGTAATCCCCAGGTCACTGTGCTGGTGATAAGTGTGCATTGAAAGCATAAAACATCGTTTATACCATACATAACTAAACGAGGGCTAAGAAAAAAAGTCAATTTTCAACTTTTTATTTTTGACATAAAAATGCACTTTTCTAGACGAGCGTTGTCCCAGAAATCTAGTGGTGCCATTTGTTTTTACATGCGATGTTCAAAAGTGCCTCTAATTCACGAAAGTGCTTATGACGTCACCACGCCCTATACATGTTGGAGCTATTTTTTACAATATGGGGGTCAAAATTCAAAAATCAAGATAGAAAGCTGGAATTTGGGACATCCTATGTTCTAATAGAGCTCTATAGCATATATTCCGGTTTTTATAATAGGTACTCAAAATTTTGGATTTTATTAGCTGTTTTCCAAAAAATAAAGTTTTTTGAATTTTTAGGGGTGAAAAACGCATTTTATGGAAAATCCGAGATGACCATTTTAACCCGCGCCCCACTGGGGGGGGCTATTTATAGCCCCCCTCCCGTTTTTCTGCAATAACTTCCAAACCGCTTGACGTATCGACGCCAAACTTTCAGTACCTTAGGCTGCATCAATTTGACACCTTGTGTCAAAATTTAAACTTCGTACCTACTATAGGTGGGCTGGAAATGACGTCAGAGTGACGTCATGTTCGGCCGATTTCGACGCAAAACATTGAACCACGGCAATCGCTCCCAAGAGCTCGGTTTTTAAGCTAGATCCAATTTCTTTGCATGAGAGGACTCAAAATAGACTGCGCTATCAAACTGCTATCTCGGATTTTCGAAATTTTGAAAATTTTGAAAATTTTATATAATAATATCCAAAATTTATATTTTTATATTTTTTTCAAAAAGTTTTTGACTTTTCGAAAAAAACCGGAATATATATAATAGAACGCATTATTATGACTAACTCTAGCAAGTTTTAGCTAAATATCTTTAAAAATGGCCAAGTTTTACGCATTATTGCAAAAAAATTCACAATTATTAATTTTTCATATCAATTTTTCAGCACGTATTTGACATCGTACGCCAATATAAATAGCACCATCGTGTTCCTGAGCTCAAACTGCATCCAATAGACACCTTTTTTTGAAAAATTTCAACTTCAAAATTTGACCTTTTTTGACCTGAAAGTGACCTAACATAAGCTAAATACGACACAAAATGACCTCGAATAACACAGACGACATCAAATTCGAAATCTCTGACCTAAATGGACCATGAAACATGTGTCACGTGACCGACGCATTATATAATATTTTCGTGACCTGTGATGACCTGACCTTGACCTGAAAATCAAAGTACAAGTTTGGTACCCTCAGGGTAACTAGAGCATCTGTTCCCGAGTGTATGATCCAAAAATGAGCCTGATCTGACTTGTAAGACGGCGGCCAGAGCCCAAAAAGTGATCAAGCCAAAATGCTAATAATTTTTACTTTGACCTGACCTGTGACGTCATCGGTGACCTCGAGGTCAATGAAATTAGGTTTCGCTCGACAGTTTTTCCGGAGCTATCAGGCGCCGTTTGAATTTTGACGATCGGCTCAGTAGTTTCGGAGTTAGGAGGGGGGCTATGAATAGCCCCCCCCCCCCCAGTAGGGCGTGTTATACGCAGACCCCAGCGGGGCGCGGGTTAAAGAACTTGTTGAGTTGCGTCGAATTATGTCCTTAACCCTCGCATGTGTAGGGGGGGGTCGGATGGACCCCCCCCCCCCCATGGTTTTTCGCGAATAACTCGCGTAAAAAGCGGCCGATCGCGACGAAACTTTCAGTACCCTCACATTGATCAATTTTACACCTACCCTGAAAATTTCATGACCCTGACCCAAATGACCTTTGACCTGTGACCTCTTTTCCGAGACCATGTTTGGCCGGAATCGCGATTCTGCGTATGTCGGCTCGCATTAGCCGCGCGTTTGCAAGCTTTTCGTGGTTTCAAACGTTCAAACATGTGATTTGATGTTGCTTCCATGCATTAGGGTGGGTGTCAAGGTCACCTGGAGGTCAGGTCAGGTCATTGACCTTTGGTGACCTCGGGTGACCTCGGTTCACTTTTTCGAGCTGTACATGTTTCTAGGCTAGTTTTTGGAGCTGAATTCGAATTTAGCAACCATTAAAACATTTACGAAGTAGTTTTGGTGCCTTCGTAACATGTTACGAAACTGTCAGAGGCGGTTGACACGTACTACGAATACCCGTCACGATGCCTACTGGTTGACCTGACCTGACCTGACCCGACCTGGTCTAAATGCTTAAAGACATCATCTGTGATCAAAACTAACACGATATTCGTGATCAGCACCCCGAAAAACCCCTTAGCAGCCACACTTTACGACTTTCTAACAGGTCCCGATTTTCCCGACTTTGGGTCATTGACCTGACCTGGAAGGTCACCTAATGACCTAGGACCTTAAAATTGGGTATCATCGGCTTCCTCTCGTCACGGGCAACACGCTCATTTTTTCCGCGAAGCTCTAGCTCGATCAGGGGCCAAACGGCAAGGGGGGGTCCAACCGACCCCCCCTACACATTAGAAGCTGGCAAACGCCGCACACATGCGAGGGTTAATTTGCAATTTGCTTTAACCCGCGCCCTGGTGGGGTCTGTTTATAGCGCGACCTGGTGGGGGGGGGGGCTATTTTTTGCCCTCCCTCGTATCTCCGAAACTACTGGACGGATCCACAAAACTCAAACGGCGTTCGAAAGGCCTGTCAAATTTGTCGAAGGAAACCAAATTTCATTGACCTCGGGGTCACCGATGACGTCACAGGTCAGGTCAAAGATGAAATGTTTCACCGTTCACGAGTCTTCTAGGGAATGCGCTATAACACCGAGGAAAACGCATTTTGTCGAGAATCAGCGATAGGGCGTCAGTTGCCTAGTAGATATGTTGCTATTAGAGGTCACTGACAATACCAGGTCACGTCACAGGTCAGGTCACCAAGGGTCACAGGTCAGGTCACATGAGCCCAACTTTACTAAGGTTGTGTGATGCATGTTTTATGGCCAATTTTTCATTTCCAACTCAATGGTGTTGGTTATAAGACTATCAGGTACGGCTTAGGTCACTTTCTGGTGAAGTTCAGGTCAAGGTCAGGTCAAGGTCAGGCCAAAAAAAGGTCAAATTTTAAAGTTGATAGTTTTGCATAAAATGGGTATTGATTCGATGCAGCTCGTCACGGGGAGTCTAATGGTGGTCTTTGTTTTGCGCTACAGGGTCTAGAATTGCTAAAAATTGAGTTTGAAAATTTGACGTCATCAATTTTGAACAGTTTTTTTCGTTATAACTTCACCAAAAAAAAGAGGTATCAATCTCAAATTTGGTATGTGGATGGAAGGCGGTAAGGAATATCACATATATTCCGGTTTTTGCGAAATTCAAAAAACTTTTTGGATTTTTCGATCATTAAATCAAAAAAAATATTTTTTGATTTTTGGGGGTCAAAATCCAAAAATTTCAAAAATCCGAGATAGCAGTTTTGTAGCCCTGTCAATTCTACAGCTTTTATGTTTAATCATTTTTCTGTATTTGCAAAGCTATAGGCCTGACAGCTCTTCCCGCGAAACCCTTTTTTGGGTCGAAAACGGCAGAACATGACGTCACTCTGACGTCATTTCCGGCCAACCTATCATAGCCTTTGGAAAAAATTTTTGGTCACCATGTGTAAAATTGATGTCCGGGAGGGTACTGAAAGTTTGGTGACGATCGGCGCAGCAGTTCTAGAGATATATCGAAAAGTCTGGAGAGGGGCAAAAAATAGCCCCCACCAGGTCGCTGGTTAAACATTGATTTTAGGCGATTTTTTAAACATTTACCACTTTTTGACTGAAAACGCCATGTAGTTACATCACTAAAATCGATATATATATATATATATATATATATATATATATATATATATATATATATATATATATATATATATATATATATATAATTGGAAAATTTTCTTAAAAATTACACAGAAGACGTCAAATTGATGGGGGAGAAGGTATGCCAAGTTTCAAGTTGATAGCGTAAGCGGTTCATGAGTTATTCGAGAAAAACGGAGGGGGGTCGGATCCGACCTCCTCCCCCCCAGGCGGTTGCGGGTTAACCAATCATATCACCTAGCTCTGACCAACTGCATGCTGATTGGCTGACGATTGGCGTCTGCCATAGGTGGCTGCATTCTTGGAATTCTTCCGTAAAGGAAATATTTCTGCGCAAGGGAATGATTTCGGGACGAGAAATGGAGTGGCTTTGCCTAGGGTGATCGTTGGGCCGTAAAAGCTCCTGATTTGTGCTAATCTCAGCCCAAGCTACAAAACTGCTATTTCAGTTCAAAACCCCTTTTTGAATGACAAATGTCGTATATTTCCTTTAAACATATATCGGCCTCAGCTTAAATATTATCTGATTGTAAAAATAAACGGAGATTTTGAATCCGTTCTTATGAATAACTTATGAGACCTTATGTCATCAGCAAGAAGACGGATGGTCAAAATATTTCAATGATATCTAATTAAAATATGATTATCAACTTTCCACAATTGTTCAACTGGCGTAGTCTTTCTTTCCTCTAAACGTGGAGACCGCGTACTTGTATATTTTTACCCAGTGTTCAATTTATAACAATTTTTCGACTTATCAAGCTTATGATGACGCAATCACACCATCCTTGTCTTGAATGTGTCTCCTTCACATGTGTATGTTATGTAGGTGCAATGTTCACCAAAGTGATGCACTCAATGCTCATGCATCTATGTATATTCTATATCTATAGAAGTTATATCAATCTTATCAATGGACAGGCGACACTCACAATGGTATCAATATCCTATTGTGGCGATAACCCACTGAACGTCCCACTTGAATAATTAGTAGGTATCTAATGCCTCTTGCCCGGTCCATTCATGGATGGAGTCATAGTAAAGCTCTTATGCCTGTAGGCCAAATAAATAACGAGATCGTGGGAAAAATCCCCAATGGCTCAAACATAGATAACATGAATCTGAATGGCTCAGGTCAAGAATGGCTCAAATAAAATTTAGATCCTAGCCTCGAGCTATGATGATCAGATCCACCCAGGTCACCGATCCAATACTTGAATTAATGCACAATGCACATTGCACATTGCACAAGTCTGATGCCATAGTACTAAATCTCGTCCCTGGCGTCTTCGCTTCGAATTTGCAAATTCGAACAGGTGCAACTGCGAGGGTTTTGTTGCAATGAAACAAGACACGCTAAGGCAAGTACGTTGTGTGACATAATGAGCAATAATTACACTCCTAGAGCAATAATTACACTCCTACTATCTATTCTGCTGGTTGCTCTTACCTGCTGCGGGGGCCGGGGCCGCTCGACAGCCGACCCCGCACACCACTACCGCCAGCAGCAGCGGCACCGGCAGCGCTCGTCGTGACGACCTCATGGTGCACCCTTTTCAGCCGCTGAGCACACACCGAGCACCGGAGACCAGCGCCGGAGCACACGCCGAGCACCGGAGAGCACCGCAGGAGCGCTACAACAGCAGCCGTCACCGGCAGACCCGTGTCTGTCCTATCGCGGCCGTCGCCGGGGACCCGCCGTGATTTGCAGAATGTGAGGGAGGATAGAGGGCTCGGCAGATAATCCGTGGGGGTGTCCGCTACTCGTCAAGAGGGTCTCTGCGTCAGCCAGATAACACGCGAATTGGAACGGCACGGTCCTTCGTATCTGAAGGACCGTGCACCAAATACGGGATGCAGTTCCCGGAATACAATGTACCAATCACTTTGTGTCTCATGTTCGAACGCCACCACACCAATTGCTACTTGAATCCGAAGTTCCAAAGGTTTGAGAGGAGCTTCTTAAAGTTTGTGTGAAGATTAATGATTCAGTTATCAGCATGCCGTATATTCCTATCATTGTCCTTGACTTTGATTAAGGACGCCAATGCAACTGAGAGTAAAGAACGTTATTAAATAATTGTATTTAATCCGCAAGCTGCTGGGGGAGGGACGACGAACCCACTTTTTTGCCGCGCTCTAGCTAAAAAACGGCGCGTGCCGCAGGCGCACCAAATTTTGGATACTATATAGTGGTAATTACTTCAAGTTTATTGTGACAAAGTTTTTTATTCTGATTGTTTTGGGTATTGAGGTTTTAGTGGCGTCATGATTTATGAATTAACCCTCGCACGACCAGGCCATTTCTCATAACACGAACGACCAGGGGGGGGGTTGTTACGACCCCCCCCCCCCCCCCTGGCGTTTCGAAACGGAAGGTCGTAGAGCTTAGCGGAAAAAACCAACGGATTGCTCTCAACGAGATCTCGCGATTGGTGGTATATTTTTTTGGTCCTAGGTCAACATTTGACCTACTTTTGACCGGTCAAAGGTCAAATTTTCGGAAAAATAGACTTTTTTCAACTTTCGGCGGCGATTGCGGCAAAACGGTGGGAGATATCGACTTGAAACCTTCACTATCGTGTTCCTTGATCAATTCTCTATCGTTTGGTATGTATTTCGTTTCCCTAGCTCTAAAAATGGCGCGTTGGGAGCGCCGGAAGTCGGCAAGGTCACAGTCGGCGGCAGAAATTCGAAAAATCAAAATTTAAATTTTTGAAATCTGATTGTATTTTTGGATTTGGGAGGTCCATTTGCTCCCTATAGAAGCTAATATTGCTGCATATTCCCATTGAGGTGACAAGAATTAGCAAAATAGTGGTTCGGGCGCTTTTCAAAAATAGTACCGGACGCTGTTCCTCTTGTGACGTCATAGCTCCGTGACCTGACCTGACCCGGTCAAATTTCTTATACCATATGATAGCCAATACTTGCCCCAACATGCATGGGAAGTTTCATCACGATCCATCAACCGATGTCCGTACCACCGGCAGGAAACCTCGGGCGTTGGCACTCAGTTTGTGAAAATCCGGCCGGAGGCTGTACCTCTTATGACGTCATAACTCCGTGACCTGACATGACCCGATCAATTTTTTTCGGCAAAAGATGCGCAAAGGTTGCCCCAGAGGGCATTGAAAATTTCAGCCCGCTACGACAAGCCGTTTAGCGTGCACTTCGAAAAAACCTCAGGGGGGGGGGTTGATACAACCCCCCCCCCTAGGCGTTCTAGGGTTAAACGGCATATGTTCAAAAAATCATAAAACCACAGAACAGACGTAGGGGCATGCCGTCAAAGCTATTAGACTGCCAAGTGCCAATACAATGAATAATCAAATGGCTAGCTTCGATTTTTGATTACCTATCGTTGTACATTTTTCAAAATCTTGGGCGGAATCTTGGAAAATTCTCGTGACAACTTCGCGACCATGATGCACGCATTTCTTACAATCGATCTTTTTCGACACAACACGTATGTGTATGTACGTATGTACTTGTATATGATAAAATAAATGTCACCATCGTGTTTTACGCTCAAAAGTACCCATAATACATTGTCCTATGCTACAAATACCAGCTTTGACTTTTGATTTTCGGTGATATATGCTGACCTGATTGACCTGACCAGTGACCTTGCCCCTGACCTATGCTTGACTGGCCCCTACATGAATCTGGCATTCGTGTAGCACTTCTATGAAGGGCTGTGCACAGTTTTGACAGAGTTTATGACGACTACGAGAGGCGCCCAGTGCGAGGTTCTAAGCTTCATGCTACTGAAAGCCCAATTTCAGGTGTTTGACCTGACCTTGACCCGACCTTTGACGTCAAAATTCATTTAGAAAATACTCGTCTGAAGCGTCTTGTCGCGTCCTTTCTTTTGCCGCCTCACGCGTTTCGCAGTGCCTATTGGTTCTCGAGTTATCGGCTGGGGGTGTATTAACATTAACGCCCCCTCCCCTCCCAGTGAACTGTGGTTGACCTGAGGTCATATTTGCAAGTTGACCTTCCAAGGTCAAACTATAGTTCATTCCATGCATCTTGACGATAGAAACACAATGCAAAAAGTAACCGCTTACAAGGTTTGAGCCAAAAGTTATTGTAGAAAATCTGTTTCCTCAAAAATCGTATATTTCGGCAGTTTTTGCCCCCAGCAGGCAAAACTGTTGACGTTTGGTCAAATCTGAGAGGAATAATCAGAAAGAACGTTGTATAGGGCTATCAAATGTGCTTTTCTGGGGCGCTGTAGCTCTCTTAGTTTTCGAGGTACGTACGCGTTGGCTTGTTGAATATTGTCGACCTTTGACCAGAAAATCGGCGAAATGTGGCCTTTAATGACCTCTGGTGACCTGACCTTTGACCTGACCAAAAAGTGACCGAAGTAATTTCGTCATAATTTTCACATTATTTCGAATATCGGCTTCTCCGTATCGCTACGTGGCCCAGGAGCCGGGTTAGAAGCGGAGTGTTCTAACACATCCCCTCCAGCCCCCCCCCCCCCCCAGCAGGGGATGGAAAGCCAGGACCCCAGCGGGGTGCGGGTTAATGGTTAGTCCCTAGCCTGAAACAAAGCAAACGCCTTGTTCTGAGCTCTGTTCGGGCGTTGATCGCAGATATCTAATTGGGAACGGTGGGGACATCAGAAGTCGTAGGTAGTGAACTGAGTACAAAGGCCATTCCAGTGTGACTCACCATATATTTATTCAACAGAACAAGACACTAATCAAGCGTTCATAAAGGCTCTATATGCGTAGGAGCACAACGCGAGCTCGCTCAGCAGCGACACACACAACATTGCCATACCTATCTTCATAGTTCATTTGACGCACGACGCTAATAAGTTTGGCGATAAGGACAGCTCAATGTGCGTTGTGCAGGCCCCCATTGGTCGGATTTGGAAGCGATGTGAGCAATTTGTTTGTTTTATTTCGCTGGCTTATGCCTTTTCAGTTTTTTACCGCATAGAAAAGATCTATGTAACGCGCCGCGGTGATTGAGCTCATTCCTTGGGGACGGGGCTGCAATGGTGGGCAGTCAGGCTGAACAGGTTTTTCTGTGACCAAGGATGAGGATGGGTTGGTCCTGAGGATTGATGGGACGGACGAAGACAAGCGCCGTGAATGTGTAGAGCACCGAGGCGAAATTTCTAATGAAGAAACTTGACGTCATTCAGCCAGAAATTCACAGTTCACGCAATGTCACGCCGATTTCGGTATACTCGTCACATATCCAACACTCAGTTACACGACTATCCTCAAAAACTGTTCGACCACAACATTTGGCGAGTGAGGCTCTCCACCCTTTGTGACGTAATTTCGTTGGCTGCCCACCTGCGCCGGGTTTTAGTACGGCCGTATACTCTCGAGCAGTCCCGTCCTCTGGCGCTCCAAAGGTGCTGCCATCTAGTAAACCTTCCGCTGCTGGTCCGGTGTAGTCGACAAGAAGAATGGAGATGCTGATTTCCACGACTCGATGTTGGGGTGACTCATGACTTCATCGGCCAGCGGGTGTCGAACTCGTTAGACAGACTGATGTCCCAAAACCTGCGGGATGTTATAAATGTCATTCAGTGTTCAACCATAAATGCTCACGATCATGCAATCAAACAATTCCGAAAGAAGCCGTGAACACAGTTAGCTATGCATAAAGGGAAACGATGTTCCACATGAAAAAGATCACGAGAAACGGAAGCTAAATAAAGCACAGAAAACTGTGAATTGTTTCTCAGATGTATCATTATAAAAAAAATTACTATCTAGTATCTAAACATTTGAGCTGATGCTTTGACACGAGCGTTGCTTCAATAGGTACCTACCTAGCCAATGCCCATGATGTGAGCAGATGAACTTTCTCTAACACCCCTCCCCCGGACCCCCCATCCCCCGACCACCGCGTCCCTCTCTCCGTACTCACCAGATGTCCACTATTTCTCCTGCACCTTGTAGCGGAAGCTCTCGCAGGCAGACAGGTTGGTACTGTACGGGCCGCCGGCCGCCAGTGGCTCGCCCGCCTTCATCGTGTACGGGTCCCAAAGGAACACGTAGTACAACGACAGCATGATAGCCGCCGAGGACACGCAAAACACGTAGCCGAGCACGGTGAGGATGCGCACGATCTTGATGTTGGGCCGCGGCTGCTGTTCAAACAGACGCTCCACGCCGCGATCGTCGGTGGAGGAGGCACGCTCCTCGCGACGGGACTCGTCGCGACCGCCGGGGCACGCCATCGCTGCCGATCTGAGCCGGTCGATAGAGCGGCCGTCGGAGACGACGACCGTCGGTGCCGATGGGCCGACGGGGTCGTCGGGCGCGCCGGCGCCGGCGCAGCACCATGAGAGGGGCCGGGCGGGCGGGGTAGAGCTGTTTATATGACGGGTAAACCTGAACTGGCGAGGAGGGTGGGAGCTCTCTTTATCTCTCCTCTCTCTCTCTCTCTCTCTCTCTCTCTCTCTCTCTCTCTCTCTCTCTCTCTCTCTCTCTCTCTCTCTCTCTCTCTCTCTCTCTCTCTCTTCCTCTCTCTCTCTCTCTCCCTCCCTCTCTCTCTCTCTCTCTCTCTCTCTCTCTCTCTCTCTCTCTCTCTCTCTCTCTCTCTCTCTCTCTCTCTCTCCCTTGCTTTGTCTCTCCACTGGTTTTACTTCCCGAACCCGCTTTTAAATTCCATGCAATCATCACGCATTACAAAATACTAATACAACTTAGTGGCTCGGCGGAGTCGGCGCCCGCCAACAGTCTGTTCCCGGGACCAAGGCCGCGTTCGGACGACGTGATTGTTGACACGGACGTGGCGTCCCTCTTCGTGCGAAAAGCTATGTGTATGTAACGGATCAGTCTAATTCTGTTCGGACACGTATGCACGATACGCTGATTACCGACCTCATAGCTTGGACACTGAAGGGAAGAGCCTTCTGTGGGCCAAAGCAAGGCCGTATAAGGTCAAAGAAAACAACCAAACGAAGAAGTGTCTGCTATTGAATATGATGCAGCCTATAATGTGTCACGTGAGTCACTGCGACTTCGCCCTGCTTGCGCCCACTGTAAGAAACCTGAATGTCCGGAGACGGCAAATATGTTATGAATGGTGATGTGCATTTGTCACTTGTCTATTGTCAGTGTCGGTGAACGGCGGTGGCATGTTTGGCCCAAGAATCCGTTTGGCCCACCCGAGGAGGGGGCACTCAAAATGTCTTGACGCTTGTTGGTGCAATCGTATAAAGTATGCTGGTGCAATCTCAAATGGTGATTGGTTATAACTGCAGGAATTGTTCACTCTGAGTTCAGAGGGGATGAATTTCCTCTTTGATCGACATTTGTATTTTATTTGGTATCACAACTACAAAGCATTTCGCCGCCAGCAACCTTCATCAGCTAGGTTGTGATCAACATAAATGCGCATGCATTACAGATCCGGGAAATGTCGGCAGTAATTTCTTCAGGCAGTGGCGGGCAGCTTGCAGAGGAAATGGAGCTCGTTTTCGCAATCTTGATCATCCCACTCGGCCCCGTTCGGGTTGTTGTAATACGGCAGGTGAACGCAGTCCTGGCCATGGATATCATCGGGCTGCTCCGGAGCCCAGTTGGTGAAGTCCACCTTGGAGCCGTCTCTCCACTGGAACGAGCCCTCCGTTTCGATATCGTTCAGCCCAATCCACGTGTCGCCAAAGTTGTAGGTCTGCATGACAAAGGCGTTCTCGATTAACGAATGAATCGAGGCGAGCTGGGAACCAGCTCCGACCGTGGGACAGGCGATGACGGCCTGCTGCCACGAGGTGGCGTAGGTGGAGCGCCAGTAGCAGAAGCCGTCGAACTCCTGCCACTCGACGTTGGTCGGACAGCCAGCCGAGGCCAGGCAGGCGCACAGCGTGACAGCCAGCAGTTGGTACAGCATCTTGGCGAACTGATGAGGTAGGTATTCTCCTGTGTTTCTGAAAACGAATGGCAGTCAGCATGAGTGCACCATAGTTAAAGTTATATCCCCATTATTGACATGACAATGTCGTCAACAAATGGGCAAAGCAAAGACTGGCGCACGTATACTTCTCGGCTGAAGTGCCCTGATTTACATATTGTCTTATCATGAGACATTGCAACATCAATAACGTGAAAAAAGGAATAGGCAGCATTAGAACCAGATGAATAGGTACCTATATGATCATGTAGTTTGAACACTTCCCTATCTTGAAGTTAGTACTAACAAACATGAGATTTCGCTTTGGCACATTTTGGACCGTTTGACATACCATGTGAAGAATTAGGAATGAATTATATGAATTGCCTGCGTTATGGTTTCTTACTTATTCCAAGTTAAAGTAATTTACATAGTCACCAAATTCCACGAGTTCTTCAACACGAAACATTATTTAGATATATAGGAACATGTTTCTACCAGGCCAAGCAAGAAGCCCCTCTTCTAACCTGATCGTCAGTCGCGCAGCGTTGCTGCGAGGCCCACCGAAGGACGACCCACTGAGTCCCAGATACCAGCCTCCGGGTGTAGACGGCCGTCGCGCCTCCGACAGCTGTGCCATTCTCATCATGACCGCCCCCCAGGTAGGAGAAGATAGCCCCGATTTGTCGATGAGAATGTTTGAGTGTAATGTCTAGGTCGAGGCTTCATGAGGTGTCTAAAAGCAAAAGGGAGGATTATGTTGCATTTCGTGGCATTCTTGGCACGTGGTTCCATAGACCGAAAATTTAGAATTTGCATGTATATGTGTACAATGTACATACATGTGTGTATAATCTACATGTACCTATATTGTATATGTGTGATACCTACACCTAGATAAAGGAATAGCCTGAAAAAGAAAAATATAGCTTAAAGGGACACTCCCACCTTAACATTAGTTTTGAGTTGAGATAGCCAAATTGGTGGCCATGGCCTGCAAATACCGGTTTGGACACTCACAACATCGAAAAATGCTTTAATTCGAAGATATGGAATTTCAAACTTGCAGTTTTCGGATTCCGTTAGGCGGCACGGGCGGACATCGATAGCAGCGCCTCTATCGGTCACTAGGGAAAGCTGGGCTGTAGGCGACGAAATACCGGCTGAGTTGTCACACGTTGAATAGGTTTATAGCCATCCGTCTTGTGAAAAAGTTGAACGTTTGCCTTTAATATTTCTACAGGCAATTTTAGAAGTGTCTTCACATGGATTACAAAACCGTTTAGATTATTGTATTCACTTCAAGCCTTCCCTATTGTTCTTGATGATGCGGGAACTATTTCTAATTAGTGTTTCTAGCTTAGTAAAAGAACATACTGTGCAAACGATGAAAAAAGCATAAATGGGGCATTCCACGTCAAGTGGGACAAAAAATGATCATTTTGAACCTCACCTCCTCCGATTTTTGCGAAACTTTGTGAACCTAGTCATCTATATGTGAAAAGAAAGGAGACATTTTTTTGTCAAGATATGACGTCACGTCTCCGAGATACACGTCATCAAACATTGACTTAGGCAAGGCACATTATCATTTTTAAAGCGTCATAACTATTGAAGTTTTAGACATATCACCACGAGACAAAGTGTGAAATGGAGGGAATAGATCAGGCTTTCATTTGAGGATAACAATATTGACGTAATTAACTAATTAGTGAACTTAATTAAAATTCAAAAAATAAATTTTGATTTTCTGAAAAATGGGTACCCTTCGATTTTGCTCATTTTTACATATTTTATCCTCCTATACATTAGCTACATCATATAAAAAATCCAGAATGGGCCGACGTCTACGTAACTGTCTTTTGGACTTTGTAATGTCTGGGGCTCGCGTGTTTCGTTTTAGCAACCAAGGAGAGGCGCTACCCGGAGATGCTTCTTTCTACCCCAAACTAAAGCAAACCTAACCTGACCTGACGTGACCTGACCTAATCTAACACGCGTAAATATGTACAGCCCTCACGGCAGTTGCCGACTGGCCAAATGCTACCTAGATAGGTGCGAACATTAGCCCTCACGACAGTTGCCGGCTGGCCAGATGCTACTTAAAAATGATTGCGTGTTAAAACACTTCAGGGCTTAGGCTGACCGGCCGCGAGCCAGCGACCTTTAGCTTTCGAGGTGGGTACACTCGGCACACTTACTACTAAGCCACGAAGATAACTGGTCATCGTAAGCCAGTTTTTTAATGATGAAATTGGGTATTCTCCGGGCAGCGCCTTTCTTTGGTTGCAAAAAGGAAATACGCCTGCCCAGCGCTAGGGGAGAAAGGCCCGGTTTAGCCAAAAAAGGTATTAGAAAAACGGAATTTGAATTGTAGGTGGGGCGATGGGGAACTTTATCGTGTTCCAATTTCATGGTCCTAGATCAATATCTTCAAGATCAAATGAGGTTAAACGTGATCAAATTTGCTATAGTGACTATTTTGCGTTTATACGCCCATAGCTCTAAGAGTTACTGGCCGATTTTTCTATTTCTTCCTTTATACGACATTTGTAGTGTTATGAGAATCTCTAGTTAATCTTACCATAACTTTGGCAGTAAGTGGCCTGCTAAGAGTAAGATGGCGCCGGCAGAGGCGGGGATCGGCCGACGCGGGAAACGTTTCAGTCACAGCTTGTGTTTGCACCCTAATACCTCAATTTTTACTAGTTGATTTTCGTATTTATTTGAACATTAGATTGCCTGTACATTTTTAAGCCTTCACACAAAATTTGACACGAATCGATCATAATCAGCGGTAAGAAGCGAGGTGCAAAGATGGAACCGTCCCGCGCCGGCACAGTCTACCATTCAGGCGGCAACGGCCGGCGCCGGCCGCCAAGCCGCTCCGCCAGGAATGTTTGACTTTACACCGCTATTACTAGAAAAGTTGTGGACCGATTTACCTATTGCTTGCACGGGAGGATTTGCAATTCAATTCTGGACAGATACTGAAAGTTTGACGTTAATATGATAATTATGGCGTGAGTTATTGGTGATAAACAGGTGGAGTTAGCGAAATCGGCCTCTTCCACCGCCCGTGCTACGTTGCACTACTTGTTGCTATATCATCCAAAGTTATCGTTGGCCCACTCTAATTTTCTCAGCACGTGTGCCTTACGTGTAGTGGAAGACAATATCTAAATTTGAGCGAAATCGAAGGGTACCCATTTTTCACAAATAACATTTTAAGAAATTAATTCAAAATAAAATAAATTCAAAATCACCAAAAAATGTAAAAATTGTCAAATTTAACTAGCATAACTCCTTATGTACACGTTTCAGTTTGTTTGAAATCAATAGCTTCAAAAATGTTGAAGCTATAGATCTTTCAAGATTGCAATACACGTCCAATTCTGCTCAAAAAGCAAAAGTTTAGCGACTTGTATCTCTGTAGCCCGAGGGCATATGACAAAATCCTTTCACCCTCAGAGGTTTCACCCAATAGCCTATAAGTATACCAAGTTTGAACAAAATCGCAGAGGTGGCCGATTTTGGCTGTCCCGGTTGACATGGAATGCCCCAAATGGAAGATTTTAAATGCAATTTTCTCTAACAATTAATGGTAAATTCTCTACATATCAAGGAAAAGGTGCATGCTAACTGATAATTTAAAGTTCTTGGGGCCAGTTGTTTTCTTCTTTTCTTACGTCGCCCCAATGGCCGCGAATACACTTGTGATAACGCCTATCGCTAAGGGGCTAATGCATTGGAATGCCCCCTTAGAATTTGTGACGTCAGCGGAGATCTAACGATTTTTAAATCTTAGACTAAAACCATCGTTAACACGTGGTGGTATACGCTGCTTTGCGCGCAACGTCTGCCGCACTTTAAGGCTGCCAAATTATTGCTTCCAAATAAAGTCGCTAGTAACAGGGGAGATCCCAAAAAGTAAACAAAAGTAAAAGCCTAATATCTTGAAAACCAGTGAATATTTTTCGGTGAAATTTGGTAGATATTCGTTTTCGCTCTTTCTGAACCAAGGGACATCACTTTCATGCCAATTCATTAACTTTTTTGAAGGTGGGAGGGTCCCTTTAATTTGATCCTGAGGCATTCTGGGTGACAGGAGAGGCGTAATCCTCCCCTGCCACTTGAACATAAAGTTAAACAAACTCAGTTCTATTAAGTATCTAACCGAAATTCGGCTCGTTTATTTGATAAAAATTCATGTAAATGTGCATAATGTCACTATTTAGTTACTTGGCATCCCAGCTATGAGGTGCTCTCCCACCACGCTGGATAACATGGTTCTAGTTGCTTGGTCATTATTACGCTGCTGGCGAGCGTCGGGCGCAGGAACTGTTTAGGCAGTAGCGGGCATCTTGCAGATGAAGAAGTGCTCGTCTTCGCATTCTGAGTCGTCCCACTCCGCTGCGTGCGGGTTGTCGGGGTGGGGAACGCGCGTGCAGTCCTGGCCGAACTGGTTGTCGGGCTGCTGGCGAGCCCAGTTGGTGAAGTCCACCTCCGAGCCGTCTGACCACCGGAACTGACCCTCCGTCTCGATGTCGTTAAAGCCAATCCAGGAGTCAGCGAAATCGTAGGTCTGCATAATAAAGGCGTTCTCGAGCAGAGAGTGAATGGAGGCGAGCTTGGCTCCGGTGCCGACTGTGGAACAGGCGGTGACGGCCTGCTGCCACGAGGTGGCGTAGGTGGAGCGCCAGTAGCAGAAGCCGTCGAACTCCTGCCACTCGACGTTGGTCGGACAGCCAGCCGAGGCCAGGCCGGCGCACAGCGTGACAGCCAGCAGCTGGTACAGCATCTTGGCGAGATACTGACAGGTCTCTGGAAAACATGGCGAACGAAATTCATTAGCGGAACCCTCTCTCATTGGCTGCGCGATGAAATGACAATGATTACAGGCCAGCAGATTGATTCGTTGTATCACATTATTTACTCTCCAGCCTGTTTACAACGGGCGCCCGGGACCTTGGCCACCTATTTTTTCTGCTTCTCTCTCTAAATATGCATTGTTGGCCATTGCTTCCCAAGAACTGGGGACTCGTTCTCCTCCTTTTTAGGCAATGGCGATTAAGAGAGTATACCTCACTATTTGTGGCGCAGCTGGGAACGCGTTGGGGGTCAAGCGGCGCCGGGAGTCAGATCCACTTCCTCCTGATTCCCGAACAAATGCCTGATTACCAGCTGCGCCACCAGGGCTGCCATCCTATCATTGGGACCTTATTTGCATAATGATGCAAGCCTATACATAATAACCTATAGGCATAGGTCTCGTATACACATCAATAACGACTCGGTAGATGACAGCGCCAGCCTTCAAATTTTATTGTGCTTCGCTCAACTTGTTTTCATTCTGTTAAATGACAACAAAAAGACACACAATCAGTGCAATCCGAACAAGCAATTAATTGTCGAAAACAAACAGAAAACATTATTACGCAAAAAAGCAAAATAATGCGTCTTACATATGTCGTGGTCCTGTGCCATAAGCAAGACTTTTCTGTGGATAGGTAAGAAGTCTGTCCTCAGTCTCCACCGCCCCAGTCTGTCCGAGTGTCTGACCTTCTTCTCACCTGACTGTAAGACGTGAGGCTCCGCTCTGAGGCCGAGCGGCGACCTCCTCCAGCTGATAAAGGGCCGCTGTCGCCGGCAGCTGCGTCCCTTCTCACACCATGGCGTGACCTCGCACCGCCTCCCACACCGGAAAGATAGCTCTGGTTTGTCGATGAGAACAGTCATGTGCCGCCTCGAAAATGTTGGCACATGCTGCTAAAAAACGATGTGTACACATAAAATACACTGGTTTTTAATGATACGTGTCCCATGCGTAATCACGGTTACATAGTAACTAAGAGTAATGATGTAACAGCAGTGAAATGTTGTGAAGGTTGCCGGTATATTGACAATAGGATAGGGAGCAGAAAAACTTGTAAAATTCCATGAATGAAAGAGGCACTTATGTGGCTATTGCACATGATTCATTAACATGTTCACCGATGCTTCCGATAGGCCTTCAGCAATCTACTAAGCCTTAAAAACATTCTTAATTTCAAAGGTTCTGATACTGATGTCAAACACAAAACGCACAGATCTCTGCCAAATTTATGTTGATCCAGAATGATCTGACTGAAGTCCCAACTGTAAACTCCGCCTATTTTATTTTCATTGACTATTTATATTTGTCAAACATCATCTTTTTTTAACCCACGCCGGGTCGGGGTGTTTGAACCACCTGGTCACCCCATGCGGTGTTTCGCGGATATCCCATAAATGGAAGCACATCTTTTCTACAAATGTTGTGAAAATTTTAGACTCAGGTCGCTCAAGGTCAGGTCATCAGGTCACGCATTGTCTCAGAAAAAGTTATTATGCAATAGCTAAACTAACCGAACGATCGTTTTTGAACTATCCATTGATAAGAGCGATTGATAAGAGTGGCAAGATGTAGAAAACGAGCAAGAGGTAGGTATTCCTCTTGAATTTTCCTATATTGGTAACCTAAGGTCAGGCCAATTTTGCGACCTCTCTAGTATAAGCCAATGGGAGAAAATTAAACTGAGACGCTTTTGAACGAAAGCCATTGTGAACAGTCACAAATATCGGGTAATGAGCCTAAACATGACAAACTGAATCGGAATACTGCACATATTGCCCCTTTGTATACCTTTGAGGTCATATATAAAAGGTTCCCAACAGTTTTTTTTTTACAATAACTTATGAAAGAGACATGCTAGAGCGATAAAAAAAAAAACATAGATGTGTTTAGCCCAACGATACGAATCGACTGATACGCGGCATGGCCTTTTCCAGTCAGGGTGTAATCTTGACCTGTATATTGCATTAGCGAAGCATTCCAATGATGGATTAGTGTCAGCTTCTAGTCAATGACAATAGTAAAAACATATAAAGCACAAGCACACACACGCATACACATTGTACCAAAATACCAAAACGCTAGTCACATGTCGAGTTTAAAAGTCGTAAAAACTCTGCTCTAGTTCGAGAGCCGGTGGTGGCAGGCGGCAGGCGATTCCAGGACGAGGCCGCTCGGTATACGACAAGGCCCGGCGCGACATAGACAGCCGGTAAGCCGGCAGCTCCAGTACACCGGCACACGTTGCCCGCGTTGAGTGCTGCGACACAGCGGCTCGCCGAGTGAATAGGGAGCGGATCGCCTCCGGAGCGCAAGGGTCACTCAGCGCCCTGAACACAGTGGAGCAGTCACGGTGGACGACAAGATCAGCAATGTCATGCCAGCCGAGGGCTCTCAACACCGGTGAAATATGTTCAGAAACCCGCGCTCCGGAGACGACCCTAGCACCCAAATTCAGGATCTTCTGCACCTTATGTAAATGACAGCGAGCGGCCCCGCCCCAGACGGAGAGGCAGTAAAGGAAGTGGGGGAAAACATGGCACTGGATAAGGAGCTTACTGGTCTCGGGGGTAAGATGATGACGAATTTTATACAAACATAGAAGGATGGAATTGCACTTTTTGACAACATTTGAAATGTGCTTTTCCCAGGATAGGGTTGAGTCGACCGTCACCCCCCAACATAGACCTGGATAAGACTTTTTAAATGACTTACCTATAACTGGCGTTATCTTTAGTTAATCCCGTAACGCTTCGGCATCGTATGCTCCATACTCATGTGTTGGCTGTTTATCAGCCGGCCGTCTCTCTCTCTCTCCCTTATATCCCATTTACCTTCCAGGCGACCGTTAAGAGAGAGGAGACGGTCGACGAGGTGAAGAAATGATGGTAAATAAAAACCAATGCAATGCAGATGGTTGGAGGGGGTGGGTGGAGGAAACGTGCTCAGCAGCGACCGCTGCTGGTCCGCTCTACTCGCCCGGGCCGCGTTGAGTGCGTTGAGTGGACCTCAGCCGTCCCGCTCACCGCCGGCCCGCTGGTGACGTCACGCACCCTCCGGCGAGGTCAGGTCGGGTCACCGCTCGACAGTGCCGGCCGGCGTGGCTCTAGAGGCCAACCGCGGATACGCGTTTGAGCAAGGATGCGGCGTTACCATTAACTGGCATTTCAATGCCATGGCATATTACTTTACCTACCTACATTTGGCACGTCTCGACGAGAGTAATACGATGCCGGTAAAATCAATGTGCTGCAAGTTTAAAGCAAATGCTATTGCAGAAAGAAAACAATTAAAAAACATTATCTTAAAAAAACTCTGCAGGCTAAACCATTGACCTTGGTCATATCTGAGAGTTCACTCCAAAGTGATGTTGAATGAGCTACCAAAAACGTTTTCCGCGACGGGCTGTAGCTCTGTTCGTTCCCGAATTAGCCCGCGCCCCACTTGAGAGGGCTGTTTATAGCCCCATCCACTCTCGTTTTCTGCAATAACTTCACAACCGCTTGGCGTATCGTCGCAAAACTTTCAATACCTTCGGCTGCATCAATTTAACATCTTGTGTCAAAACCAGAACTTCGTAGCTACCATAGGTCGGCCGGAAATGACGTCAGAGTGACGCTATGTTCGGCCGATTTTGATGCAAAACATTAAGCTACGGCAATCTGTATTAATAGCTGAGTTTTTTTTAAGATAGGTCCAATTTCTTTGCATGAGAGGACTTAAAATACACATGGCTGTCAAACTGCTCTCTCGGATATTCAAGATTTTGAAAATTTTGAAAATCCTATATATAAAATACAAAAATTATGCTTTGTCTTTTTCCAAAAGTTTTTGTCTTTTTGGAGATTTAAATCCAGAGTATAAAGAACACATATCGATCAACTACTCTAGGAAGTTTTAGCCCGATATCTTCAAAAATAGCTAAGCTATCGGTAACCACGCATTATGGTTAAAATTTCATTATCATACGTTTTTCAAATAAACTTTTCAGTGCGTTTTTTTTCTTTTACATCGTACACCATTATAAATAGCACCATCGTGTTCCTGAGCTTAAACTAACTACATCTGATAAACACCTTTTTTGTTAAAAACTTTTAACTTAAAAAATTTGACTTTTTTTACCTTAAAGTGACCTGACCTCAGCTATATTCAGCTGAAAATGACCTTGAATGGCACAACACAAACGACTCTGAGTTCGACGCCTATGGCCTAAATGGACCATAAAACATTTGTCACGTAACCACTGAATGATGTAAGATTTCCGTGACCTGGGATGACCTGGCCATGACCTCAAAATCAAAGTTCAAGTCTGGCAGCCGCAGGGTATCTAAAGTATCTAGTACCGAGTGTGTAAACCAAAATTTAACCTGAGCTGAACAAGCCAAACATTAATAATTTTAATTTTGAACTGACCTGTGACGTCATGGGTGACACCGAGGTCAATGAAATTAAGTTTCCCTCGACAACTTTTTCCAGCGCCATCAGCCATCGTTTTAATTTTTACAATCCGCCAAGTGGTTTCGCGCCGGAGTTAGAGGCTATAAATAGTCCTCCCTTCAGTGGGGCGCGTTATAGACAGAGAGACCCCAGGGGGACCCAAGCGGGTTAGCACCCATTTGTCAAAATAAGAAAAATGCCGCAAAAATTTTCCTGAGATGACCTCCGGAGACGTTGTTGGCCTGACCTAAAAATTTGCTAAAGCATTTTTTCATGAATTTCGGCGCTCTTTCGAATGTCGCTTACCGCGTGTCGCTACATGGCCCAGAAATTCACTGTTTCTCTGTCCCTTGCTAATCCCTACTGAAAAATCTTCATATCATTTCAAGAACACCTATTACGTCATCGGCCTTAGTTACTATGTAACCGTGATTACGCATGGGAATCTTATCGATAAAAGCATACGTTGTTGCGAGTAAGTTGTGTACACGTCCTTTGTTTTGTAGCATGAGGCGTCGTTTTGGAAGAGGCACATGACCGTTCTCATCGGCAAACCAGGGGTATCTTTCCATAGCGCGGCTCGGAAGGTGGAGGGTCAAACACCATTCTGTGGGAAGGATGCAGCTGCCGGCGACGGTGGCCCTTTATATTCGGGGAAATGGTCGTCCTTCGGCCTCAGAGTCGATCTTCACGTCCTGTGCTCAGGTGAGATGGCTGAGGGTCACCCGTTCGGATGAGGTGGATTACCCAGGAGGGACGCGTACCATCAGTCTACAGCTCTAATTAATGACTCGCTTTTCATTGATTAATGACTTATTAATAATTGTTTTCAACCTTTGTAGCCTATTTAAGATGACCTGATAAGGCGTCGATTTCGGATTAGTTTTAACCCTCGCCGGAACTATTGGTTTTACACATATGTGTCGGCCGAAGGGGGTTGGAACGACCCCTTTCGCCCCTGATGGAGCTAGAGCGTCGTGGAAAAAACGTGTGCCGTAACGAGACGCAGCGACTGGTACCCGATTTTAAGGTCTCAGGTTAACCGGTGACCTCTGAGGTCAGGTCAAGTGGGCAAAGGCACGGGTTCGGTTTTGATAAATAACTTCGCAAAAAACGACCGTAAAGTCACGATTTTGGCATCATTATGTTCGCCTTGCTCAGGCGCATCGAATGGTAGGGGAGAGTGGGGTAAGATGCCCAGGGTGGGAAAGACGCCCCACCCCCTCTAGCGGCGAAACAAAGAATCGAACCTGGAAATTAATGTTCTTAGCGTAAAGCGGAAGCCTGCCTTGTTAACCCGGCACCGCCTGGGCTATTTCCGTACCCACATCAGCCTGGGGGGGGGGGGGTCGGATCCGACCCCCCCCCCCTGTTATCTCGAGATCCAATGGTCGTATCGAGCCCCGCGAGGCGGCGTTCGAAAGGTCTCTACGAGACCTTCCCAAAGCACTCTTAAGATTTTAAGATTGAGGTCAACTTTCGGGTTAAGGTCAGGTCAAAGGTCAAATTCAGGGGTTTTGCACGATTAGGCTTACGGACAGCGGAATCGATAGCTGCTGCTCGAAACTCACCACAAATGACCTCAAAGACCTAGTGAAGGTACCATGTGCGTATAGGGGTCATACTAAGTACGGGTCAAGGTCAGGTCAGGTCACGAAAGGTCACGGTTTTCACTTTCTGCTACATGGGCGTGCGACACATGTTTTATGGCTTATTTTTCACGCCAAATCCGATGGTAATGGTTATATGTGACCCCAAGTCACTGTGCTGGTGATAAGTGTGCATTGAAAGCATAGAAAATCGTTTATACCATACATAACTAAACGAGGGCTAAGAAAAAAAGTCAATTTTTCAACTTTTTATTTTTGACATAAAAATGCACTTTTCTAGACGAGCTTTGTCCCAGGAATCTAGTGGTGCCATTTGTTTTCACATGCGATGTTCAGAAGTGCCTCTAATTCGCGAAAATGCTTATGACGTCACCATGCCCTATGCATGTTGGAGCTATTTTTTACAATTTGGGGGTCAAAAATCAAGATAGAAAGTTGAAATTTGGGACATCTAATGTTCTAATAGAGCTCTATAACATATATTCCGGTTTTTTGGAAATTCTCAAAATTTTGGATTTTATTAGCTGTTTTCCAAAAAATATAGTTTTTTGAATTTTTAGGGGTGAAAAACGCATTTTATGGAAAATCCGAGATAGCCATTTTAAAGAACTCGTTGAGCTGCGTCTTTTCATGTCCTTAATTAGCAATTTGCTTAAAACCTCGATTTTTGGCGATTTTTTAAACATTTACCATTTTTTGACTAAAAACGCCATGTAGTTACATCACTAAAATCGATATATCTCAGAAATTTTTGAAATTTTTTTCTTAAAAATTGCACAGGAGACGTCAAATTGATGGGGGAGAAGGTATGCGAAGTTTCAAGTTGATAGCGCAAGCGGTTCATGAGTTATTCAAGAAAAACTGAGGGGGGGGGGTCGGATCCGACCCCCCCCCCCCAGGCGGTCGCGGGTTTAACTGCACAAAAATTTGTGAAGCTCAGTTGGGCAACGGCTGGCTGGTGATAGCATGTTTTTTATTTGCTGCTTTCAAAAAATATTTTGTTGTCAAAACATTGTAAATATCAAAGAAGGTAGATAATTTTTGCTCCCCTTGCTATAGTCGCGATACATTAACATGCGTGTACTGTGTCCCAAACAGTTTGTTTCAGGGTGTGGTTTTATGGCTAACAAATTGTACTGATTTAATATCAATTCGGTACTTTGGGGTAAGATGCCCCCTGCCCTGATGGGGAAAGACGCCCCCCTAAATCCGTAGGCTGTCCTTAAAGCAGCCCCTCAAATCATTTATTACATACTTGTGATGAGAGACAAAAGCCGATCTGGGACTATTGAGAGTCCAGTACGGTCGGGTGCTCCCCATGCCGGTCTCACGGCCCACACAGCGACTTTTTGGGCGGCATCTGACTCTGAGAGCCCTCACGACGGCCTCTGTGGGCCCCATTATTGGCTCCAGGGCCCCTCACAACATCATTTGAGGGCTCCCACGTTGGCTCCACGGGCCGCGCTGGCATCTGAGGTCCCCACGATGGGCTCGAGGACCCTCAAGCATCATGAAGACCTATAAGGGCCCCACAGTGGTCTCCGAACGCCACCACGGAGGCTTGTTTGGCCGCGCTGGACTATGATGGCCCTAACGATGACCTCTGAAGCCCCTTACAACCACTTTTTAGGGCCCTTACGATGACGTTTGGTGTCTACTACAGGCTCGAAGGGACTACTGATTCGTTCAGGTGATTCACGTGCCCATTTGTGTCACTTATAGTGCAGGGGGCGTCTTCCCCAACGCCAGGGGGCGTCTTTCCCACCCCGTGGGGTAAGATGCCCCCTTTCACTTCTTCAGGAAAATGCTTAATGGCAAAAAAAGTTATCATATTTCAGGCACGGAAGTGTGATATTTTTGGAGAAAAATGATGTCGGCTTCCATTGAAACTCCAAGTTTTTGCTTTCCGATCGTCATTTTCGAATAATATATGACATAGCAAAACCCTGGGCATCTTTACCCACTCTCCCCTATACTTGTTGTTCGGTTGGTGTCAACTTGAGGTGCTGACCTCGGGTCGAGGTCAGGTCACAGCCCCCAGGTCACGAGTTGGTCGAAGGAGATTATATTGCATATCATTCGATTCGGCAGGTTCTCCTGAGGCCATTGGTGACTTTCCCGACTCGCTACCTCAATTCGATAGGAAGTTATTGACGAAAAACTCTTATGACGCAAGTGACGTCATAAATGACGTCACAAAGTCAACAATACAAAATTGAGGTATGGGACATTGCAAGGAGTGCATGATATCACGAGTCCGTGTGCTTGAGATAGTTTGAGATCGTTTCCGGCGCCTAAATAGCAGTTTTCATGTTTCCCAATTGCCTTATAGGTAATGGTGAGGTCACATGACCGACCTGACCTCATGTAAACTTTAGGAAAAATCCGAGATACGCAAGTTTTGAGACCTTTGGTGGATACTACATCCTGTAAGTTTCATCTCCTTGTATAGGTTCCTCTGGGCTCTGGCACTGAGGGGCGAGGGCGTTCGAAGTTGCGAAATCTGAGGACCGTGCAGAGGTTCACTTATGACGTCATAGGTCATTGATCTGGCATGACCTGAAAATGCTGTTGGTTTCGCGAGATTTGACTTGAATCTAAGATCAGATATTCCAAGTTTCAACCTTCTATCGCTGGCGTGTTAGGAGCTATCACGAAGAAAAAAAAAACCTATGGGTGGGGTGGCACTCACCCCCCCCCCCGGCCGAGGAGGGTTAAATGTCTTGCCACAGGAAAAAATGGCATATTTTGTCACAATGGCCTCATTAAATAGCCCACGAAAGCTTGGTTGTTATCGTCCCGCAGCTCGACGTTGAATAAAGCATCGATGATCGAACTCCCCCAGGATGAGGCCCTGGTTTTGAGTTGTTCCGGCCAGAGGTCTATGCACCGGCGCTTGATATGCACAATGAACATGGCCTCTTAACGGTTATGGTCTGCAGTGGTTGATGGGAAGAGTCATGCCATAGCATAACATTGATAGAGACATCTCACCAGGCAGTGAAGCGATATAACTATATGTATCCCGCATCCACAAATGAATTCCTCCGTCGTTTGTTTCCAGAGACCCGAGAGTACCGATCGTCAAGATGCTGTACCAGCTGCTGGCTGTCACGCTGTGCGCCGGCCTGGCCTCGGCTGGCTGTCCGACCAACGTCGAGTGGCAGGAGTTCGACGGCTTCTGCTACTGGCGCTCCACCTACGCCACCTCGTGGCAGCAGGCCGTCAACGCCTGCCCCACGGTCGGAGCTGGGGCCCAGCTCGCCTCGATCCATTCTCTGCTCGAAAACGCCTTCATCATGCAGACCTACGACTTTGCCGAGACCTGGATCGGCTTTAACGACATCGCTCAGGAGGGCCAGTTTCAGTGGTCGGATGGAACCCAGGTGGACTTCTTCAACTGGGCTCGTCAGCAGCCCGACAACCAATTCGGCCAGGACTGCACGCGCGTTCCGCAGCCCGATAACCCGCACGCGGCGGAGTGGGACGACACAGCATGCGACAAGGAGCACTTCTTCGTTTGCAAGATGCCCGCTACTGTCTGAACAAGTGCTGCTCTCGTTAGCTCTGGTATGTGACTGCCGACTGAGCAACTAGAGCTGTGCACACTGGTTTTACTGTGGCTGGAAGCTAATGAGTCCCAAATGATTTTAAGTGTATCATTAATGTACATTTCCATGTGTATTTATTTAATAAATAAACCAAATATCGATTACATGCTAAGAACTGAAATTGATTTAGCACACAATTCATGGTTCAGTTTGTCGTGCTGCATTTTCATACATACCTACAAGTACAACTGTCAATTGATGTATCGGTCGACTTTTAAAGTATCGGACACAGTCAAGTCAGCTACTACAACGATGTCTTTATAAAAGACTCGGATATGCAAACATCAGCAGGTAGTGCATCTTTCAGCCACCATAACATGACGAGCCCCTTCCCCTCTCTCCCCCTCCCCCTCCTCGAAAGACATCGATGTGTAAAAGTCTGTTTATTAATTATGTAATACCTATTAACAGAGTCCACACAATCATGACTAGGCGACAGACGCACGCTTGTTAGAAAACGCTCGGTAGTGCCCTTGGCCTTGTACGGACTCCAACGAAGCGCGAGATCTCCGTCAGCCTCACATCAAAGAACACGCCTCTTTCACACGCACACACGCACACACCTGGCAAACGCACACGCGCCGAGACCCACGCACGGACGCACACTCGCACACGCGCGCCGCGGTGACGTCACCCAGAGCGGGTGGTAGTGTTTGTTATGACGTCACAGGACCACTGTCCGGTTACTCCACGTCATCCTCGGTGATGGAGGCGCTCTCCTTGGCGGCAGCGGACGCGGCCAGACGCTGTAGGAGACAAGAGAGTAAGCTTCATCTAAGAAAACAACCCGACCTGCTTTGGAACTTATGTAACTTTGATTTCACATGTTTATTTTTTGGTTCTACGCGTGATGAACCTATGATCTATGCATCTATGATGCATCTCTTGATGCATTTTTAGATTATCTTCAGCTTTTGTCACAATATTTCTTTATTGCATGATCATATTATAAATAGCAGTATACCAAACAAGAATGAACGAAAGCACATAAATGGCATGTAAAGTAACCGGTGATAGCTATGTAATCATATAGCTGTCATAACACTTGTCTTAGAAAGTCTGGTGAACATAACTTGCAATTGGATATGAGGAGCCAAACCTAAAGCCGCCTACTTTAGAGCAAATAAAGTTGAAGGTAAATTTATGTTTTGGAGAAGAAAATTGCATATAACAAAAGCTGATTATAAAAAGGCATTAGGCCTTTATAATTACAAAATTTCCGCACCTTCGAACAGCGCAAAAAAAATAGATGAGGGTAATATAAAAATACCAAAGAAAGATTATGAAAAATAGACAGGTGCAACCATATGTTGCATTTGATAACAGTCACAATGAAAGTACAGCAATCTTCCCCGTCCCGCCCTACACGTTATCCTCGGTTAATTGGTTAGAACTGCGGTAAGGCAGCCGAGACGCACCTGTCCAGCGAGCGGCAGTCGCTGCAGCAGCAGCTGGAACACCTGGGGCGGCACCGTCTGCTGGAGCACCTGCAGCAGCTGCTGCGGCTGGTGGCACACCGCCACCGCGTTACACAGGTGCTCCACGCCATCCTCCATGTTACCCTGCGCCAGCAGCTCCTCGCCAAGCTGCACCTCCTGCAGGAAGAACGTCTGCACCTCCTCCTGGGAGCGCAGATCGGGCAGCGCCGAGCCGCCGGCCGCCGCGCGCGCCCCCTGCTTCCGACCTGGTGGCACAGCGGCGCAAACAGCGGGTCAATGGCGAGCCACACAGCGTAGAAAACAGGATCTAGTCTTACTCTAATTTTGAGCGGTAGTGTTTCAGATCATCCACAGACAAAATTTTTGATGTATACAGCCTTTTCATGTAAATTTTGTCCGAAATTTTTGAATGGAGGGATTCACAAAGGCAGGGCCCCCGCTCAGAAGAGCTTGTTGCGTTGGCCCTGCCCTCCACCCTCCGATCGCGCAATTCCTGTCTATGACAGAATTTCGAGTCCAAAGTTTAACGTACGCACTTGGCCGGGTACCGCCGGTCCCCTCGCTGACTTCTCCAGACTACGGCCTGCCACCAACCGCAACCATACCCGCCAGGAGGCTCGTAAACATCAAGCGCCCGTCGCGCCTCGAACCCCGGACTGTTGTAGCCGGGAACGCGTGCTCTCACCATTCAGAGTCCAATGCTCTACCGACTGAGCTACGGGACCACCGCAAAACTCAAGCCAAAACGCTCAATAATGCAAGTGTCTGAGCATGGTGAACACGATGGTGGCAATATAGCAGTTTTGAGTCAAATTCCGGCAAACATATTACCCAAAGTCAGATACTCATTTGAAGTCTTTGAACTGAAGTCATAGGTAACATATTGGTCTGAAACCCTCATTGGATACCCAGTAGGTATATAGTCAACAGTTGCTGCATCCGGAACACTTAACAGTGCACACTTCTTCTTCTTCTTTTTTTTTTTGCTGCAGGCTCAGGCTCACTTTGGAGCAAAACGGTCATGTAGGTGGAAGTTTGCAGTGCACTTTCAATCACCCCCTTCCCCACCCCCACCCCTTCTAAAGACCATGGTGTATGTAGAAAACCTGTAGGTCCAGCAAGGGTTAAAGGCTAAAGTGTCCAATGAAAAACTCTCAATTACAAAATTTGTCATTGTCTACCAGCCCAATCTAAACTTATGTCAATTTTTACCCATTTAGGGTTGAGATTTTGGTCATAAAAGGCCAAGAGAGCCATTAGCTTTTTTTGGTAGATTGAGCCTTTTTTGATGAGCAGTTGTTAACTTCATCTGCTAGTCGTTTTGTTTGTTTGAATCCAATTGTTTGTTTGTTTATTGGGGCTTAAGGGCGCGCCGACTACAAGGTCATTTTGCGCCCATAACTATATACAAGTAAAGCAAGTGTGTCACAAGAAAACCGACGTAATAAAAGGCTTAAAAAAGCCTAAAAGCTGGTTAAAAAGAACAAAGAAGGGTAAAATACTCCAAGCGTATCGTAAAAGACAGCTGACTAGGCGTAAGGACTAGATTAGAATAGACGTATGGACTAGTTGGTTTGGTATCAGATCGAGTAGATTACTTGGAATTTGATTGAACGGATAAAGGAAAAGATGTTGCCAGATAAAACCCAGGGTGACTCGTCACCCAGCAAGTGGCGGACAGTGATATCCGGAGCGATGCGGCCCAGGTAGCGAGTCCGGTCCGGTTCCAAGCGTCGACAAGATAAAAGCACGTGGGCGACGGTGAGAGGCACGGCGCACCCGCCGCAAACGGGCTGCTCATCTCCGCGGAGAAGGTGGCCATGCGTCGCATACGTATGACCGATGCGGAGCCTGCATAAAATCACTTCGTTTGACCTGTTGTCTTGCGAGCAAGACCTCCAATGCTCCAGAGTCGGCTTCACCTCTCGGAGCTTCCTGCCTCCACGCAGGCGCCACTCTGCCTGCCACTCCGTTAGAATAAAAGATCGTACAGCAGGGTAAAAATCACGCGCCGGCAATGGCAACCGACGAGTGCAGGGTGCTGCAGCAGCACGCCTTGCAGCCGCGTCTGCCAGCTCATTGCCATGAACGCCAACGTGACTGGGAATCCAGCAGAACTGAACAGATTTACCCGATTGTTCTACTGACTGAAGCCGAGCTAAAATGTCTTGAACGATCGGGTCGGCTGGATTAAAACTCCGTAGGGCCAACAGGCTGCTTAGGGAGTCCGATAAAATCAAGTAAAAAGGTCCGTCCGATACCTCAATAAAACACAAAGCCTTCTCGATGGCAACAAGTTCCGATGAAAACACCGAGGCGAAAGATGGCAACGAAAATGAACGGGTATCGTCGCCAGCGACGAAAGAACAGCCCGCTCCCTCAGGTGTTTTAGAGCCGTCTGTGAATACAGGAATAAAACCATCGTAAGAGGCAAGGTGTTCCAAGGCTCGGACTCGTGCCTCTGCAGGCAGCAACTTGCCCTTTGCAACTGCAGAAAGCGAAAGATCCACCTGTGGACTGACACTTTTCCACGGTGGAGGGGGCGCAGCCCAGGTACGACGAACGTTACGCAATGCTATGTCAGCTATTGAAAACAGTTCTTTCATGCGCACTCCGAACGAGGGTCGTAACCTTCCGTTACATCGGGTGGCATGCCGTGAAAAAACGTATGGGTACGTCGGGTGCATAGGAAATTGGCGCAGTTTCAGCGCGTACCGCATACCCAACATCTGACGGCGGAGTGAAAGTGGCGGTTCATGCGCCTCAGCAAGAATGCTGCTCCTGGGCGAGGTGCGGAATGCTCCGGTGGCTACTCGGAGTGCTGCATGATGGACTGTATCCAGGACCCTCTTGCTAGATTCACTCGCTGAATCGTAGACAAAAGAAGCGTAATCTAGCTTCGATCGTACAATAGATCGATATAGAAGAAGAAGGGTCCTGCGGTCCGCACCATAAGATGTGCGGGCGACACATTTTAAAACGTTCAGGGATTTAAAACATCGTTCCCGAAGCGTTCTAAAATGTTCTTTATACGTTAAACGACTGTCAAAAAAGATCCCAAGAAACTTCGCCACCAGACGAGTAGGAATCACCTGTCCATAGAGCTGGATTCCCAAGGGAAGGTCGCCGCAGCGGCGGCGGCAAAAGTGCATAGCGACGGTCTTCGTTGTTGAAAAACGAAGACCGTTGTCACGACTCCATCTCTCCAACCGCGTCACTGCAAGCTGCAGCTGTCTGGCCATATGCCGAGGGCTTGAAGCGGCAAACCAAATGGCAAAATCATCCACGAAGAGCGATCTACCGATCGAAACCGGCAGATCATCAGCGATGTCATTAATCGCCACTGCAAAGAGAGCCACACTAAGCACTCCGCCCTGGGGAACTCCGTTCTCTTGAGTAAAACTGCTCGAAAGACTACTGCCAACTCGGACTTTGAACCGACGACCCGATAAAAAGTTCTTAATAAAGAGGCCCATCCGGCCACGTATGCCGTACTTGTGTACTTTGGAAAGTATTCTGTGTCGTAACACTGTATCATAGGCCGCCTCAATATCAAAGAACAGTGCTCCAAGGTGCTTCTTTTCAGTAAAACAGGTGCGTATCTCGGTGTCGAGGGCTAAAATGTGGTCAACAGGGCTGCGGTGCTTTCTAAAACCGCACTGGGCGTTTGTAAAAACACCGTGATGTTCCAAAAACCAGCTAAGACGCACATTGACCATCTTCTCCATCAGCTTTGAAAGCGATGATGTGAGAGAGATGGGCCGATAGTGGAGAGGGTCATGTCCCGACTTGCCAGCCTTCAAGATAGGAATGATAGTGGCTTCCCGCCAGGTCTCAGGGAAAGTGCCAGTCTCCCAAAGCGAATTGAAGGTTGCTAGCAGCGCCTCGAGGGCAACTGCGGGGAGATGACGGAGCATGTCGTTGTGGACAGCATCCGGACCTTCTGAGACGCTGCGCAACGAGCTGATGGCAGACGTGAGCTCAGCCATAGAGAAAGGCTCATTGTACATCAAATTTTCAGCTGTGCTGAAGTCCACGGCGGCTGGTGCAGGTCGTGAGGACGGCTCTCCTCGGCAGCGCTGATAGAGTGCACAGCCTATCGTCTCTGCGACGTCTAAAGGGTGGGATATGTCCGTGTTGTTCACTCTTAAAACCGGAAGCGGAACAGAGCTGAACCGGCCTTCAATGCGCTTCATGCGTGCCCATATCTGGGTCGTAGGAGTAAAACGGTTTAAGGAACTCACGTACGTGCGCCATGAAACAGCCTTTGCCTCTTTTAAAACGCGACGGGCAAAAGCCCGCGCTTTCTTAAAAGCGATGAGGTTCTCAGTAGTACTACTCCGGTCAAACTTTCTAAAAGCGCGCTTCCTGGCACGAATCGCATCTCCGCATTCCTTGGTCCACCACGGGACCGGAGGACGACGAGGCTGACTCGACGTCTTGGGTATGCACCCGTTTGCGGAGTCAATGAGTAAACATGTAAAATCATCTGTAGACATCACAGAGGCGTCGGCTCTGGATAAAACCGTGGCCTCTACGGCGGCCTGGAATTCGCCCCAGTCGGCCTTCCGAACATTCCACCTAGGTGGACGGTTGCCTGACACTGGGGACTCCTGGTGCTCCAGCCACACTGGGAAGTGGTCGCTCCCGAGTGGGTCGTCATGGACGGACCAGGTAAAAAGCTGAGCTAGCCGCGGACTGACTAAGCTCAGGTCCAGAGCCGATGTTTGACCGGAGGGTGTTGTAAAATGGGTGCGCTGTCCTGTATTTAAAATACACAGCGCCTCATCGCGGATAAAAGATTCTAAAAGTCGACCACGAGTGCCAGTCGTGTCGCATCCCCACGCCAGGCTATGGGCATTAAAATCGCCGACTACCAGGACCGGAGGTGGAAGCTCATCGACAAGTCGATGCAGCTCAACCACCGGGAGCGCTATACCTGGTGGTAGGTATAAGGAGCACACTGTCAGTTCCCGGTGGTTGAAATCAACTCTGGCGGCCACCGCCTGCAGGGGAGTCTGCAGCGGCACCTGGCGAGCAGGTACGCTGTGGTGAACTGCCAGAAGCACACCTCCATGGGCAATGGTAGGGGTGTCCAGGTCTCTTCTAAAAACAGAGTAGCCCTTGATGGCAAAGGTAACGTTTGGCGCTAGCTTGGTCTCCTGGAGACCTAAAACAAGGGGTGTGCGCCAACGGATAAGAGACTGTAGGTCCTGGTAGTTGGCCCGGAGGCCTCTACAGTTCC